AGGACCTTTAGATGAGCAGGCAGTACTCTTAACCACTGAGCCATCTCTCCAGCACCTGTCTTATTACTTCTTTATTTTAAGACATAGTCTTCATAAGTTGTTTAGCTGGCCTTGAACTCTTATCATAGGAAACAGGCAGGCACTGAATATGTGATTGGCTTGCCTCAGTCTCCCTATGTGTGTGAGTTTTTTTTAGTTTCCTTTATTTTTATTTTCTGTGTGTGTGTTTTGCCTGGTTGTGTGTCTGTACCACATGTGTGCAGTACTTGAAGAAACTTCAGATTCCCTGGAACCAGAGTTATGGATGGTTGTGAGCAACATGGGTGCTGGGAATTGAACCCTGGTCTCTAAGAGAGCAGCCATTGCTCTTAACTGCTGAGAAACCTGTGCTTTTATCTACTGAACCATCTCTCTAGCCTCTCCATGTGTTCTTAACCCCTTTTATGAAACAGGGTCTCCCGGTATAGACCAGGCTGGTTTCAAATTCACAGAAATCTACATCCACCTGCATCTGCCTCCTAAGAGCTGAGAGTATATGTGTGCGCCACTACACCTAGCCCCTAGCTCTGTTCTTTTTTATTTTAGATTTTATGAGACAGGGTTTCTTCATGTAGCGTTGGCTGTCCGGGAACTCTCTCTGTAGACCAGGCTGGCCTCAAACTTACAGAGATCTGCCTGCTTCTGCCTTCCGAGTACTAGGATTAAAGGTGTGTGCCACCATTGTCTGGCTCTTGGTTGGTTATTGTGATGTAAATAAATTTTTTCTATTACATATTTCTGTTTTTTTGTTATCAAATATTAAATTTTTGCTGCTATCTCAATTAATATTCTAAATTTTTGCCTAGGCAAGCATTACTTCAAAAAATGTATCCAAAGCAAAACAACTGATTGAGAAAGCCAAAGCTTTCCGAGTCAGTGGACCAAAGGCTGAAGAAACGGTGGTGCCCTTGAGGCGGTCCTCCCGGCATCAGATACCTCCTGAAAGGGAGAAGTCACCAGAGACAGATGTGAGTACTCCAGTTTCTATTGATATAGGCGTTATTGTTTTGTTTTAGAAGTGGGAGAATGAGCCCTTTACAGAGGTGTAAGGTCACATTCAATAGCCTGGATGTGGTGGATGTTCTGCTTTAAAAGCCTTTGGCTTACAGGATATAGTTCAGTTTCAGGTCTCTCATGGTGTCCTGTACACTGAACCAATTCTTCCCATTGCTCAAACAGTTCTTTACCACAGTCACACTGAATTTCACTTCTCCCCAGAGAGCTCAGCTCTTACTTCTTATTTTTTCTCACTTTGAAATTCACATTCCAAGTACTGTCTTCTATCTGAGAATTCTCTACTCAATTTTTACTATCCTGCTAAAAGCCACTACCTCCTATTTTTAAATAGTTTTATTGAGATATAATTTACATGAGGTACAGTTGGCCATTTAAGTGTACAATTCAAAACGGAAAGTGTTATGGTGCATACCTGGAATAGTAGCACTATGAACATAAAGTAGAGGGACCAGAAGTTTGGGGGTGATCCTTATCCTCACACTGTGTGATAAGTTGGAAGGCAGCCTGACCTATGTGAGACCCTGTCTCAAAAAAAAAAAAAAAAAGAACGTATGCAGTTTAGTGTCTTCGAATATATTCAGAGTTGTGCTTCTATTATAATCAATTTTAGAAAATTTTCTTGTTTTTTTTGTTGTTGTTTTGGTTTGGTTTTGACTTTTTTTTTAAAGACTTGTTATACATACAGTATTCTCAGTACTCTGCCTGCATGTCATAAGAGAACATCAGATCTCATTACAGATGGTTGTGAGCCACAATGTGGTTGCTGGGAATTGAATTCAGGACCTTTGGAAGAGTAGGGAGTGCTCTTAACCTCTGAGCCATCTCTCCAGCCCTTGGTTTTGATTTTCTTGAGACAGGGTTTCTCTGTGTAACATCCCTGGCTGTCCTGGAACTCACTTTGTAGAGATCCACTTGCCTCTGCCCTTCCAAGTGCTGGGATTAAAGGCATGTGCCACCACCACCCAGCAACTTTTTCGTTTTTAGAAACAGGGTCTTTTTTTTAATAGTTTTTCAAGATAGGTTTCTCTGTGTAGCTTTGGGTGTCCTGGCACTTGCTCTGTAGACTGGCCTCAAATTTACAGAGATCTGCCTGCCTCTGCACCACCATCGCCCAGCAAAATAGGATCTTATTTTATTTTATTATTTTTTTTTTTCCGAGACAGGGTTTCTCTGTGGTTTTGGAGCCTGTCCTGGAACTAGCTCTTGTAGACCAGGCTGGTCTCGAACTCACAGAGATCCACCTGCCTCTGCCTCCCAAGTGCTGGGATTAAAGGCATGCGCCACCACCGCCCGGCCTTATTTATTTATTTATTTATTTATTTATTTATTTATTTATTTATTATGTATACAATATTCTGTCTGTGTGTATGCCTGCAGGCCAGAAGAGGGCACCAGACCTCATTACAGATGGTTGTGAGCCACCATGTGGTTGCTGGGAATTAAACTCAGGACCTTTGGAAGAGCGGGCAATGCTCTTAACCTCTGAGCCATCTCTCCAGCCCTAGGATCTTATTATGTAGCCCAAGGTCCCTCAAATTCACCGCACTTTTGCTTCAGCTGGGATTGTATGTGCCACTATGCCAGTTTATAGATTATTTCTGTTATCTCCAAAGAAGATACCATTCCCCTTTACTGTTCCATGTGACAACTACTTATCTTCTTTCTATTTCTGTAGACTTTCTGTTCTGGTCAGTTTATAAAACATTGTATGATATAATATAGGAGACCTCTACCAACTGAGCTACAACCCCAGCCTTCTATGTCAGTTACCCCTTTTCCAGTGTATCCATGCTTCATATGCTACCTACCCCTTAGTTATTTAGTAGCTCCTTCAGTTATCTGATCAACCAAGGCAGTATTAACAGTGCTTGTGTTCAAGCATTCTTATTTTGCTTGATAGTGGCTCCATAGTGTAAGAAGAGTAATGCTGGCAATCTGGGTACACAACAAAGTACTGGAAAAGGTGAAACCCTTCAGTTAGTAAGTAAAGAAGCTGGGCATGGTAGTGCATGCCTTTAACCAGAGCACTCACTCCAGACAGAGGCGAGTTTGAGCTTAGCCTGGTCTGCTGAGCAATTTCCAGGACAACCAGGGATATATTGTGAGATGACCCATTCAATGAAAGAAAGAAAGACAGAGAAAGAAACATATATGCTAACATTGCAAAGATCTGTAGTAAGAAAGAATCTTTTATCTGTGAAATTATGAAGAAAAAGGGAATTCTTTCAGCTTCACTGTCACACTTCAATCTGTGAAAGTTGTGGTCGCAGGGTGTGTTATCAGATTTGTGTGAAAACAACCAAGCTCAGAAGCATCTGAGGCTTAGGGATTCATGGCTTATTGGAATTTCCATGGAAAAGGGAAAATAATGTATTAAAGTATTTTTTTTCTTCCTTGTTTTGTCTTAGGACTCTGTAATACTAATAGATTCAAGTCCAACTTCTATAAAACAACCAGAGAAAAATCAGAAGAAACTTAAGAATTTGAATGATGTACTAGGAAAAAAATTTAACAAGCCTTCTAAAAATGTTCCTGGTAATTGGATTTAATACTGTTTGATGAATAGTAGAGTGTTTGGGGGCAATTAATTCTGAAATTTCTGGTGCAAAGTTACTGTCTTGTCCCATAAAATAGAAAATGTAGGTGTTTTGTTTGTTTTCTTTCCTTTGAGACAGGTTCTCACTATGTATCCCTGCCTACAGAGATCTGCCTGTGAAGTGGTGGGATTTAAGGCATGTACCATCATGCCTGGCTTTGTTTTGCTTTGTGGGTCAGGATTTCTTATTCTCTAGACTAGTTATTTACTATGTAATTGAGGCCAACATTGAACCCATCTTCCTGTGTCCACCTTTAAGTGCTGGGATTATAGTGTGTGCCACCTTCCCTGCCTAATTATTTCCATTTTGAGTAAGTTTTTCAAAGAAAAATTGAGCATCATATTTTTTTTCCCTGAGACAGATTTCTCTGTAGCTTTGGAGCCTGTCCTGGAATTAGCTCTTCTAGACCAGGCTGGCCTCGAACTCACAAAGATCTGCCTACCTCTGCCTCCCGAGTGCTTGGATTACAGGTGTGCACCACCACCGCCCGGCGAGCATCATATTTTTTAAACACTGTTTGGGGACATATTTTAAATTATTGTACTTCTGTATATATACTTAGCAGCTCCCAAACTTGACTACGAATTTTTTTCTGAGTTCATTAAAACATTTCTTATAGCTAGGTGTGGTGGCACATGCCTTTAATCCCACTACTCGGTAGGCAGATCTCTGAGTTCCAGTACAGCCTGGTCTACTCAGCGAGTTCCAGGGTAACAGAGAGACCCTGTCTCAAACCAAAGCAAACTAAACCAAGAAACCATTTCCTTATTACTGTTATTAATATTGGTATTTATTTATTTATTT